TCTTACCACAACAAATGTCAGCTCAAGATCTGTACAACTGAATGAGATAGAGCAATTTGTGTGGCTTCTAATGTCAGCTGGGTTTGGTAGCCATCTTGGATTGGGTTGAATCTAAAAGCAAAACCATTATCGCTCGCAGTTGAGAGGCAAAATAAAAATGCTTAAGGCTTTATTTTTTTTAAACCTCCAGGCGGCGTCCTGTTGGAGAGTGGATCTCTTTGCCGCTGCACTTCCAGATCATATTTTTCTTAATTAAATGAGGATTTCAAACGCTTATTTTTATTAATACACAGATTAATTATATTATAGTTTGTGAACCTGTCGAGCCATGACCAGAAACTAACTCCGTTAGACGTGTGCGAGGAGGAGTTGAGTTCTTCTTCGACAAACATGCACAAGGAAGGCAAGCACAGAAAAACAGTAGAAGAAAATAGTTTGTGTGGGAGGAAGTCTTGACTATATTTATAAACATAAATATCATTATTATATTTCTCCCACAAAGCCAGGATGACAGTTTGACGTCTTGAACAGGTGGTTCGTGTTGAGTTTTGAAATTATTTCTGGTTTACTGACTGAGATCACGTTTGAGTGAATCCTTCTTGTGCACGTGTCACGCCAGTTTGTGCACGCCTCCATATTCCAGCTCATCTGTCGTGGTGTCATTGGGTGACACGGTGCACGTACCCACCATGTTCGTCTTGCATGTACTTTTCACAAATACTCTGTGACCACAGCAAAGATGTGTTTTTTTAACAGCTTGGATTTTGGGAGTAGACATCTAGACCAAAAAAACAAACAATTATTATTTTTTTTTTTATATTTTGAATCTCTGCTGCTTCTGTTGGCAACAAGTAATCAATGGGTAATCATTTTACTTATTTTAAACTTAAATGGACCAATAAAAAGCTGTTGCTACTTATTTTTATGTACGGACAAAGAGAATACAGTAGTCCCTCGTTTATCACGGGGGATTTCATACCCTGCCCCCTCCCCGCGATAAGTGAAAAAAGGCCAAGTAGGAATAGTAGTACAAGTAGTAGTTCATTTTAGTATTTATGTAAATATATACAGACCCTTTCCAAAAAATTAGTATATCATGGAAAAGTTGTTTAACTTCCATAAGTCAATTCAAAAAGTTAATCTTTAATAGATGATAGATTCAGGACCCACATTTTAAACCATTTCAAGTATTTATTTTCCATGATATTCAAATTTTTTGGAAAGGGTCTGTATATAAATAAGTTTTAAACCCTTCCCACACTTTTTGCAATATTCCAAACAATGTTTCTAAACTAAACGCTCTTAAGGAGCACAGAATGTCATGATTTCTAGAATTCGGATTTTTAGAAGTGAAACAATTGAAAGAACTGATGATTAATAAAGACAGAAAAATAGCTGAACTGGAACAAAAAGTAGACGACATGGAACAATACACAAAAATGGACAACTTGGTGATCACTGGACTGGAAGTTAGGAACCGGACTTATGCAAGAGTTGTTGCTGGTACTAACATTACAGAAGACGCACCACAGGAAGAACTACAGACTCTGGAGGAGCAAGTAGTGAATTTTTTACAAAACAAAGACATTGACATAGAACATGAGGACATTTCAATCTGTCCCATCCTGCCCAACAAATCAGATAAAGCCAAACCATCCATAGTCATCAAGTTCATTAGCAGGAAATCAAGAAACAAGGTAATAATGCAAGCAAAAAAACTGAAGGGAACAATTGTTTACATAAACGAACACCTAACTAAAAAAAAATTGAAATATTGCATGTGAAGCAAGGTTGTTGAAAAAACAGAAAAAAATAGCATCAACTTGGACAAGAAATGGAAACATCTGGATCAAAATACAGGAAGGATCTCGGGCTAAAATAATAAAAGACCTGAAGGATCTGGAAAGACTAAAATGAGCTCAGGGGGGCAGATAATAAATCATTGACTAGTGTTGTGGTCAAGACCACCTAACCCGAGACCAAGACAAGTCAAGACCAGAGTGTACCGAGACCGAGACAAGACCAAGACTTTTAGGGTCCGAGACCAAGACAAGACCAAGACTTTTAAAGTCCGAGACCAAGACAAGACCAAGACCGAGGGAGGGCGAGACCAATTCGAGACCAAATCCACAAATAAAATAAAAAAATAAATAAAATGTTATTATAAAATATTTTTATAAAGTTATGAGCCTTTTTAATGTGTCAAAACTGATGATTTTACCAGACAGTAATGTTTTTACGTTTTTAAACAGTGTTGTTTGTGAAATGAATTTTGTACTGCAATGTCTTTTGTACACAACTTGTGCATGCTTACTTTAATTTATTTAAACTCTAATTTAAGTGACCCATTTTGATCCTAATAAAACAAAACTCAAGATGCATTTACCTTCTTTTGGTCTCTTGAAGTCAACATGAAATACTGGGCAGTATAAATGCAGTCTTTAGGATTAAATTGGAAACTTGAAGTCAGTTACTTTCTAAAATTGTTTAATTTTCATTTAGACTTGTGTATTTGCTTGGGGATCTTCCATTGTATGATCCAAGGCACATTAAGAAAAAAAA